TCTGCTCTTCCTTCCTCCAAATTTCTTGTGTTCAAACCAGTGTTCTAGTTCATTGGCTCACTTGTTTGAGTGCCTAGACATTGAGTCGAAGCTTGTTTTATTCTTATAAAATGGGTCACACTTGTGTGAGACCATCTCACGGATCCTTATTCATGATACGAGTCGGGTCGGGTAGAATCAACATGCAAATGTCATACTTATATGCTCAAATGTAATACTAATCAGAAATAAAAATTTTGTTACTTATAAAGGAAAAATGTAATAATTTTGCATTTTGATGTAAAAGTATTATATTTTTCATAAAAAGTATTACATTTTCCATAATAAGTAATGTTGGCAAGTGCCCCTTACTTATAAGGAAAAATATAATACTTTTGAGAAAAATGTGATATTTTTAAATCGAAATGTAAAAGTATTGCATTTCCCCTTAAAAGTATTACATTTACCCTTATAAGTAAGAAAATGTTTATTCTTGTTTAGTATTACATTTGAGCATATAAGTATAACATTTGTACGTATAATTATTACATTTTTATCTTGACGCAATCCGTCTCACAGTGATCGAGACGTTCTCACACACATTTTTGCCATTTAAAATTACTTTTAAAACATTATTCAATTAACCTGGCGGGTGTCACGAACCCGGCTATTGAACATACACTAGGCCGCAAGAATAGGCTATTGATACCACATTTCCCATTTTAGCCTTGTCATATTGTCATGCATGCAGTCGTTTTCTTAATTAATATTTTTCACCAAATAATTTATGTCTACACTCTTAATCACATTCACCAAATTGTACCGAAAATGACATCTTTCGACCAAGACAAACAGTATTCAAATATTTATATTTACATATGATGCTGTATGAAACTATGAATTAATTAAATATTTGCAAAATTTTTGTCATGTTTCATCTTTGCCTAAATAGTTTATAAAAAAAATAAAATTAATTTTTGATTTAAGGTTCTTTTCCAGCTCAAAACCAATGGGTATATTCATTGTAGTAACGCATAACACTCTTAAACAAACGAAAGCAGCAACCTTTTTAAATACTTTTACATAGATTAACTATATATAGATTCCAACTTATAATCAAAGTTATAATCTTAAATTTCTTATCAGGCAAAGTTTCAATGTTAAATTTTGATTAAGGGTTATGAATACCTTAAATCAGTAATAATTTGTGCTCATCTATTTAATAATTATTAAAAAGAGAGATCAAATAAACTCCATAACTATTTATAAAAAAGTGAAAGGAAAATGGCACGGCTTTTCTTCCTGTGTTATATGCCTCGTAGCACTTTTGCCCCCGGAGTTATTCATGTATCCATATGTGTCTCCCCAGTTAAGTTAAAAGTGATGATTTTTTCTCCTTTTATGTTAGATGGACATTTTTACCCTTCAAAATAAGTATTTCATTTATTTTTCTTCCCCAACAAATTATTGCTTATATGTATGGATGACCACAGTTCGATTCCAACTTAACCGGACAATGTAGCAATCGAACCAAAACAGTAGAGACGGTTCCGGTTACGATTCATAAATGAAATACTCCGTAAAATAATTTTTAAATTTAGACTATTTCAAAATTAAGAAATAAAATTTACAAAAATTAATAAATAAATAAATTTTGAATCGACGGTTCAAAATTGAAACTGGAACCGAATTGATTTATCATTGAAGGGTTATTTAACCATTCTTCTATAAAAAGTACTCCTCGTCCTAATTTATGTGTCATTTTAGTTAACGATATTTGGCTAGAGTTATTTTTAATTTAATTTTCTTAATATTAAGTTTAATATTAGTATATAACATTTATATATTTAGAAACTACATTAAAAACACTATCAAACATACCAAAGTATATATATATATATATATATATATATATATATATATATATATATATATATATATATATATATATATATATATATATATATATATATATATATATATATATATAGAAGAGCGCTCATATGTGGTCATGTCATTAGGTGTGGTCGTGTGGTCGTATCTGTGTCGTTGAATCAGTTTAATCTAACGGCAGTGGTAATTCTGAGGATTTTCGCGGGTTTTGGTAAGTGAGGATGTTATGGTAATTACAGTGGCCATTTATAGCGGGCGGGTTCCAGAATACACCAACAATGTTGACAACATACACCAATAGTGTAATAAAACACACCATAGTGAAACACACCAATGATGTATTCCCGTGTTATGGTAATTACATTGTCCATTTATAGCGGTCGGGTTCCAGAATACACCAACAGTGTTGACAACATGCACCAATAGTGTAATAAAACACACAACAATGTGATTTTCTCTAATCCGGTGTTTTATGACGAGTTTACCCTTACAGTTCGCTGGGTAGGAGAATGTGCGCGAAAATACTGAAAATCTTGATGAATATGATTCATTGGATATATCTAATCTAATGGCCTATAATTGACCATATGACCACACTTAATAACATGGCCACATGTGATCACCCCTCTATATATATATATATATATATATATATATATATATATATATATATATATATATATATATATATATATATATATATATATATATATATATATATATATATATCTAAAAACATAATAAATTTCAATCAAAGTTATATCCCTCATTTTTTTCCTTGTTTTTAATGCTAACCATTTTGTACATTGTGCTTTTAGAGTTGTACTATACATTTTTTTGAACAAAAATACCCTTACCGTTATAACTTTCGTTATCTTTTCTATTACTACTTTTACCATGCACATACATCTACCGTATCTTTTCTTATATTCTTTAATGATAACAATATTTGTAAAACATTATATATATTCAGTATATATTGGATTAATATAATATAAATAAATTTTATTTCACTTAGATTTTAATTAGTAAAAATTTAGTAGTTATTTTTAAAAATATAAATATTGGGCATATGTTTTTGCGCATAGAAAAGCCAAGTATATATATATAGGGCCGCATTCAGGTGCGAACGGCCGCTCATAAGCGAACTGCGAATCAATCAGCGCGCGCCACCTGTCCTTCAGTGCATGTAAATGTGTTATATGTGCAAGCAGTTGGTGCACCTATTCAAGTAAAAAGTGCAGGTAAAATCACTTACAAGTGCATGTAATTTTCCTTGTTAACATTCATTCATCGGGTGCACCTATTTTCACCTACAACTGCATGTAATTTTGTCTTGTTAACATTCATTCATCGGGTGCACCTACTATACTTATAACTATAAATGCACCCAATTATAACTACAGGTGCACCTAGATCTGGACATGTGGCACACGCTGGTTGATTCGCAGTTCTCTCCTGAGCTCCCCGTTCGTACCTATATATATATATATATATATATATATATATATATATATATATATATATATATATATATATATATATATAAAATTAGGTTCTGGTGCGGTTAGGGTGCCCAGGTGCGGTTGTGCGGTTTAATCTGGACCATTCATCTCGCTTAAATCAACGTCCAAGATTACCAAAATTTAAAAAAAAAAAAAAAAAAAAAAAAAAACGCAGTGGTAATTTTGTAATTTTTGCATCTTGGTCAAAATTAAGGTGAGGGGATCTGTGATTAATGTGTGTGTGTTTTGTATATAAGATGCGTGAGTTTTGTGCGTAAGGTGCATGAGGTTTGTGCTTAATGTGCGTGGGGTTGTGCTTAACGTGAGTAGTTGTTAAAATTTAAAGTCTGTGAGTTAATATTTAAAGTGCGTGAGTTTTGTGCGTGAGGTTGTGCTTAATGTGCGTGGGTTTTGTACTTAATGTGCATGAGTTTGTGCTTAACGTCAGTAGTTGTTGAAACTTAAAGTCTGTGAGTTAATATTTAATGTGCTTGGGTTTTGTGCTTAATTTGCGTGGATTTTGTGCTTAATGTGCGTGAGGTTGTGTTTAATGTGTGTGGGTTTTGTACTTAATGTGCGTGAGTTTGTGTTTAAGATCTAACACTGCGTATTTCTATCACTTAAGGTGCGCCATTTTTAGCGTATGCTTCTTTCTTCCAGACACGCGTTTTTTTTTTTAAAAAAAAAAAAATTCATTGATTTGAGCCGTAGATCTAAATTTGATAACGACTCAAGATCTAATCGCACAACCGCACGGGAAGCTATACCCGCACCTGAACCCTTCCCTATATATATATATATAGGGTTCAGGTGCGGGTATAGCTTCCCGTGCGGTTGTGCGGTTAAATCTGAGCAGTTGATCAAATTTAGATCAACGGCTCAAATCAATGAAAATAAAAAAAAAAAAAAAAAAAAAAAAAAAACGCGTGCCTGAAACATAGAAGTATAAGCTAAGGTGCACCTTAAGTGTTAAATCTTAATCACAAACTCACGCATTTTAAGTACAAAACCCACACACATTAAGCACAACCTCACGCACATTAAGCACAAAACCAACGCACTTTAAATATTAACTCACAGACTTTAAGTTTCAACAACTACTGACATTAAGTACAAAACTCACGCACATTAAGTACAAAACCCACGCACATTAAGCACAAACATCACGCACATTAAGCACAAAACTCACGCACTTTAAGTATTCACTCACAGACTTTAAGTTTTAACAACTATTCACGTTAAGCACATCCCCACGCACATTAAGCACAAACCTCACGCACATTAAGCACAAAACACACGTACATTAAGCACAAAACTCACGCACATTAATCACAGATCCGCTCACCTTAATTTTGACCTAGATGCAAAAATTACAAAATTGACACCGCATTTCTTTTAAACTTTGATAATACTGGACGTTGATTAAAGCGAGATGAATGGCTCAGATTAAACCGCACAACCGCACCTGAAGCCCTCACCCGCACGAGAACCTAAATATATATATATATATATATATATATATATATATATATATATATATATATATATATATATAGATAGGAAGAAAAGGAAATGATTGCAACAGAGCACATAAAGAGCTCCTCTCATCACTCTGCAGAGACAATGGCTTCCACTACACTACCACTACAGTACAATGCCCCTCCTGCACACCAAAGTCTAGTCCCTACTGACAAAACTGTCGGCACAGCCGTCTCCCGCCCACCGCCGCCGCACTCGTCTCTCTCTCCCTCGCCGTCGCACTCTTCCAACTCATCATTTGGATCCCTCTCATTCCAGGATTGCCAGTCGTCCCCAACCAATAGTTCCCCGCCCACGCCGCTCCGCTCCCAAGGCGGCGTACCATTTTCCTGGGAACAAATCCCCGGAATTCCCAAGGAATCCATCGCCGGCGACAACAGCCGCCACTCCTCTTCTCTGAGCCTCCTCCCATTGCCGCCGGCCGGGACTCCCTGCTCCGCCGCAGATCCAGTCAAGAACCGGCCGCCGGTCCTCCTCGCTTCGCCGAGAAAGCTGCCTAGCTCGAGCTTCCGTAACGACCCGTTCTTCGCGGCGTTGGTTACGTGCTCCAAAGACGACGGCTATGGCGAAAAGAACAGTAATCTATGGAAGAGCTCTAAGGTCACCAGAAGCATCAGCGACCGGTTCGGATTCATAAGCTTTTATGCCTCTTGCAAAACAACATGTGCAGTTTCCCAATCCATTGTCTACTTCCCAAGATCAAGAAACTACGATGATCAACTCCTCAACCGCCGCTCACGGCGGTGAACATCCGGCCGGCGACTAATTCCCCGGTCAGTCCAACTCTCATGTCGTTCAATATATAACTGAGATGGTTTGAGCTGTCAACTATAAGCAACTCATGCTGGTTTATCTCTTTAATAGAATCGTTATACTATGGTTACTTGATCAGAACACACCATCAAATCAGTAGTGGTTACAGATTTTCTCATCCCAACAATATATTAGTTTGCTGTAATTTACAAATAATAATATCGATCTTGCTATAGTTTTTTTCACATATATGACCAGTGCCACGTGGCCCGACTTGAATTGTCCGAGCTTGAGCTGTGTATTTTTTGTTGAATATATATGATAATATTATATTACCAGTTGATCTTAAGGTGTTGTACACTTGTACTTTTGTTGTTTTTTTTCAATGAATGGGGGGTATGTATATGATGGATCGGAGTTATTATTATTATTATTATTTTTTTTTTTAATTTAAATTGTGTTTTCTTTCATTCATTTATTAATATTAGGTTCAATTTTCGATCGATTTGGTACTTTTTGGACATAAGGAACCGGACAACAAGTGTGTCTCAATGTTTTCATGTATATAAATACATCCTTTCTGGATTCCATGTGATGCTTTCATTAAATTTTTGAATAAAAGTTTGCATTATGAACCCCATGTGAAATTAAATTTTACTTAAAAGTAATCCGATATAAAACTCTCAACTTAATCGTCTTTATTTTGGAGTTAACATAATAATGACTCTGTATGATAAAATAGTTAGCTTATTTGATCACTATTACCTGTTTGACTTAATTAAACAATCAATACGAGCGTTTGATTAATTAGATTTTTGTAACAACTTATTGCTCCAAAATGCTAAAATTCAAAAAGTTGTTCAAAGTAGCTTTTTCGATCGACTTTTTGAAAAAAAGTCATTTTGTATGTAATCAGCTAACAGCTAATTTACCAGACAATTTTCCATAATCAGCTAATGCTATCAACTAATCAAACTCACTAATTCAATCAACTAAGAGCTCCAATATGTTATATTAAAAATATAGAAAATTACACTTTTGGTCTATTAGTTAAGAGTCTTATGACCATTGTATAGATTTATTAGTACATAAGTTATTTAGATGCAGATTTAGTATTTCAATTATTATTAAATTAATAGGTATAGATTTGATCCCTCAAAGATCAAATCAATCACCTTGATATGCATATTGGTTGTGAATTATGTTTTTTGAAGGGTCAAATCTAATCTATCACTTTAATAATAATTTAAATACTAAATTTACATTTCAAATAATTGAAAAACTAAATCTACTATTGGTTGCACTCAAAATAAAAATAAAATAAAAATAAAATAAAAATCCACCATTGGTCACAACTAGGAAACTCTTAAAAATATCTATCAATTAGAGGAAATCATCATACGACATTGGCATACTAGACTTTTGGTAAGGGATGATTTGAAGGTGAACACTGTTTCAAAATTGTTCATAATTATGAATATATAGTTTAAAAATTATGAATATATAGTTCTATAATTATGAATATAGAGCTGTGAACATAATTATGAACATATAATTTTGTAATTATGAACGTAGAGATTCAATAATTGTGAACATGAAGTTCAAAAATTATGAATATATAGCTTTATAATTATGAACATATAGTTCAGTAATTATGAACATAGAGTTCTGTAATTGTGAATATAGAGTTCAATAATTATAAATATGAAGTTCAAAAATTCTAAATATATATCTTTATAATTATGAATATAGAATCGTGTCCACCTTGCAAATTAAATAGACATAGTTCCACAGCATAACTATCATTGATCTAGACACAAATCTCAAGGTTCGATTACCCTGGTCCATGGGAGAGTCATGACGGACCCAAAAAGAGCAGGCCACAATGTGGGCAGGTGTGACCTAATGGTTTTCACATACTTTTTTTTTTTTTTTTTTTTTTTGGTCAATGATGAATAATTGAGTGTGTATTTTGATACGTAATTAATTATTGTAATAATCAGCATGTGTATAAAAAGAAATAAAAAAGGGTGGTGTTGAAACAATGGGGCCTATGGAGAAAGAGAAGGATCCACACACTCACATAATAATGCACAATATTCATGCATATATATATATATATATATATATATATATATATATATATATATATATATATATATATATATATACACACGTTAAAATAAAATGGGGTTGTCTTGTGAAGGGGGTTTGATGAGTTTTCAACAAACATATGAATATTCTTACCGAAAGCTTGGTATATAGCTAGCTAGGCAACTTAAATGAAGTTCAAAGTGAAATAATTTGAAGTCATTATTATATACGTTGATTTCAATGAATTGAATCACTTTTAAAATAAATAATAATGATCTCCACCTTTCAACAAATTGTCAAATTGTAACTAATTGTGATAATTAATTTGTGAGATTTATTCATAATTATCTATTTGCATATGTAAATTGTGATTTGTTTCTTTGTACGTGGATTGTCTATACTGAACTTGAATTGCATTGTATTTTCTTTACAATTTAGTTGGTGTAATGAATCACTAAACATTTAAACTGATGAGTACAATGTAGTTTCTTTTGCAATTGTGAGATTTATAATGTAGGCTAATTTGTGATGATATCAATTTTAAGATTTATTCTTAGTTGAGTATTTGTATTTATAATATGTGTTAATTTATACAATTTGTGTCATGTGTGGTAATAAGTATATAAATTGAATAATTGATATCATTGCGTAGTAATTGGATGAGTAATAATTTATTAAATGATTAACTAGTATCGTATTTTCAAAATTTATTTTTGTCATGTTTCAAATGAAATAATATCTCAACAATTTTAAAATATGAGAAAACATTGAAATGTATTATCTCGTAATTTGTCATGTGCATTGTATTTTGATTTATAAATGTATATATATTCAAACAAGTTTATCTTATTAATAATGTTTTATAATAATATTATTATTATTGTTTTTCTATTTTTCAAATTACTTTGTCCCACTCACTAATGTTTCTTGCTTCATCACTATCTGGTGGAACACTACTATGGCTCTATATTTCATGTAAGGTATAACATTTTATGTCATTTTAAAATCAATCATTCGGATAAATCGATCTTAATAATCACTAATATTATGGTAAAAACAACATTCACTCTGAAACTTAAAAAAATTATAATAATAAAAAAGTCAATTTGAAATTTAAAATGTACAATAATAACGAATAGTCCTTACATATTAGTGGACCAACAACACCGAATAATCATTGATCTTTTGGAAGATTTTTTTTTTTCATTGTTGACTACTTATTACTACATTTGTAGAGAATATTTAAGGAAAATGTAAAATTTATAAGGAGTTAATGAGTTATAATATAAGTAATACTAATTTGCCCTTACTCTACCTTTAAAAAAATTGTTGACATCCCATTTGAGAGGGCAGTGGGAGCGGTCCACTATTCCAACTACTCTCAAAATGGACAGGCGTTAGTAAAAAATATCGTTAGAACAGTGAACTAATCACTTTTACTATTCTAGATCAAATTTTCATTGGAGGTAAAATATTCCAATTGAAAGGTTTGGAATGTTTTAGACTATTATATATATCCTTAATACTTTAATACTAATAAATATATATATATATATATATATATATATATATATATATATATATATATATATATATATATAGTTATTTTTCATTTCAATCTCATTGACATTCATATTTTTCTAAACTAATATTTCTCCTTCTTTTTTGTTGTGTTTAAAAAAAATTTCAATTGTTATTGTTTCAATTTTACCATCATCACTATTGATTTCAAGACTTCCGAAACAGTTTACCGAAAAAAGTATGTGAGATTGTCAGAAACAACTGTTACTTTTTCGATAGTGTTAGCCCGCCGATAAACTGCTCCGGTAGTCTTGAAATCAACCATCGCCACCACTCTAATTTTACTGTTCTTGAAATCATAGTAATGTGCCATATTTTGATGCATAAAAATAAAAATAGAAAAGCCACAAAGGAACATAGACGGTAAGAATTATTTTCCAATATCAAAGGAGCTTCTTTTATCTTGGGAAAACTACAGATCGCCAAAAGAAGTTGACCGCTGACTAGGCCTTAAATCTTCTTTTCACGGAATAACTTTTTTTCTTTTCCTTTTTGTAATGTCGTGTCATTCCCATGGCCAAGAATAAGAGTTAAGAATTTCAAATAATAAATTCCATTTATTATAGGGAAAAGGGTCAAATAGACCCTTAAACTATAGGCAAAAGAGCAATTAGGCCTTTCAACTTTGACAAGGTGCAATTAGGCCCTTCAACTTGTTATTTTGAGTCAAATAAACCCAATAGCAGGTTTTTCACCTGGAATAACCGGTCAAAAATTCCGGCGAAATTTCCGACCTTGTTTCCGGCGACAAAAAAAAAAAAAAAAAAAACACAACTTGCCGGAGAAGACAACCGTTCGGTTGTCTTAGGTCGCCTTCTCCACTGGAGAGGGCGGCCAGATCTGGTCGTCCTCTCCACAGTCCTCTCCGGTGGAAAGGAGTGGAGAGGACGACCAGATCTGGCCGCCCTCTCCAGTGGAGAAGACGACCGGACTGGTCGTCCTCTCCACTGGAGAGGGCGGCCAGATCTGGTCGCCTTCTCCACCGGAGAAGACAACCGACGGTTGTCTTCTCCGGCAAGTTGTTTGTTTTTTTTTTTTTTTTTTTTTTTTTTTTTTGTCGCCGGAAATATGGTCGGAAATATCGCCGGAATTTTTTGACCGGTTATTCCAGGTGAAAAATCTGCTATTGGATTTATTTGACTCAAAATAACAAGTTGAAGGGCCTAATTGCACATTTTCAAAGTTGAAGGGCCTAATTGCTCTTTTGCCTATAGTTTAAGGGTCTATTTGACCCTTTTCCCTTTATTATATTACAAAATAAAAAATGATAGTTTGGATTGGTTAAAATTGATTGAAATTACTAAAGTACTTTTTAACTT